ACCAAGGTCACTCCCAAGAGGCCACTGAACCCCTCAAGCTCGGTCAACCATTCCATTAGACCATCATGGATCTGTACCTCAAGTCCATTTACCCTCCTTTACTCCGTGTCCCTCAATACCCTTATTTGAGCCAAACCTCGCTCTTGAAAGCTGCAGTAGAACTGTGATGAATGTTTATAATAAATTAGTATTTGGGGACTTGGGTTCTAAAGTAGAGGTAAATGGCTTTTTGATTTAGAGTTCTTTCAAGGCTTTTTTTTCCAAGGGCCAGAATAGTGGGTCAGAACGGCCTTTCCAAAAAGAATGATGTAACTTAATTTAAAAGACCTGCTGGAGTAATTGCTGGTGTTTACTAAGAGAGACCAATAGAGAAGTGGCATAAGCCAGTGCTGTTGAGACAAAAGAACTACAGAACAGAAGAGTAGTTTAGTTTTGGCAACCTCTAGGTCACCAGAGTTGGAAAGAAGTCTTAAAACTGTTTTAGCTTATGGAGACAGCATCCTGCTCTGTAGCTAAAGTCTTTCCTGGGTCCTTCTGCATTGTTCCTGATCCATCTGAAGAAGGCAGCTGCCTGATGAGCACTGCTCATTGATGAGGATTCCCCACTATCTCTGAGCACTTGTTCATATACTTTATTTCTGGGGGCAAATTGTTTCCTTTGTCCATCACCAATGTGGCCCCTACTACCCGATGAGTAGAGCAGCTACCCAAAAGTCAGGGTGATCGCCTTCCTCTTTGCCCACTTCCCAGGTCAAGGTTAATTACATTATGCCAGGAACATCATCTGGCTCTTTCTAAGCACCTCCAACTGCTGCCATTCTACCAACTTGGAATGATGGATTTAGAATTAAAATTATGCTTTTGTAAAGAGAGAAAATCAATTTTATATCAGCTTATTTATTAACTTCTTTACTACGAATAAAATACCCATTTATTAAAGGCCTTAATTTATTGTACAATGGTGTCACTCAGAAATCAAGAGTTGGATGATCAACAACTGAAGAAAAATTTTATAAACAACATAGTTCCAGTTCAAGATCTCTACAGCAAAATATGGGCCTTTCAACACCAGAATCTAGATGCCCTCTGAGGTATGTTAGTCAGAGTCTGTGCCAATTTCATTCATTGGTGTCAGTTCACCAGTAATGGTGCCTGGTGGAGACAATCTGAACGTGGTATCATCACTGTCAGCACATAATGGATTATTCACTATCTAACCATTACTCTGCATTCAAATTGACAGCAAGTTGGAAATAAAACGTTTGGGATTGGATGTTCAGGATTACCCAAAGTCCATACTGGAAGCAGGCAAGTGCTGAAAATACCAGTGCCAGACTAAGTATCAGCTGTAGGACATCAGCGATGTTTACCAGGGTGAGGTAAGGCAGGATGAGTGAACACTCATGACATGATCAAGGCCAATTAATACTTCAAAAGCTTGTCAAGAGCTTGTCAAAGTTGGAAACTATTGAAGAGGTGGAAAGACTTCCTAGCTATTGAGTGGGGAGCCTGCTGTGGCAGCCCCAGATCATCCCCACAGCCCCATAAGAGGGTCAGCAAGGTAAACGAGAACTATGCTACTGGGATTGAGACACCTGGGTGCTACACAAGTGGCAAGGAGATGGGAGAGGAGGAGGGCATCGGATAGAAAGAGGGCAGGAGGCCAAACTCTCAACACAGGATCCACTTACAGAGGTGAAGCTACCTGGAGATGACCAACAGCCAGTACCGCAGACTCTCCGGGCAGGTGGTCAGTAATTTCCGTGATCTTGTGCCAAGGACCTTGCCACACTAGTGGCCTGCCCTGCCAGTGGCCATCAAAGTCACTTCATCCTTGAACGTCTTCACTTCTGGCACCTTCGGCCAGCTGTCTGTGTGGAGTTTGCATGTTCTCCCCGTGTCTGCGTGGGTTTCCTCCGGGTGCTCCGGTTTCCTCCCACAGTCCAAAGATGTGCACGCTAGGTGGATTGGCTGTGCTAAGATGCCCATAGTGTCCAGGGATGTTTAGGTTAGGTGGGATAGACGTGGGAACTGCAGGGGCAGGGGTAGGGGTAGAGGTATGGGTCTGGGTGGTATGCTCTTCGGGGGGGGGAGCGGTGTGGACTTTAAAGGGAGGCAATGGCCTAGTGGTATTATTGCTGGACTGTTAATCCAGAGGCCCAGATAATGTTCTGGGGACCCGGGTTCAAATCCTACCACGGCAGATGGTGGAATTTGAATTCAATAAATATCTGAAATTAAGAATCTAATGATGACCGTGAATCCATTGTCGATTGTCGAAAAAACCCACCTGGTTCACTAATGTCCTTTAGGGAAGGAAACTGCCATCTTTACCTGGTCTGGCTTACACGTGACTCCAGACCCACAGCAATGTGGTTGACTCTTAACTGCCCTCTGGGCAATTAGGGATGGGCAATAAATGCTGCCCTAGCCAGTGATGCCCTCATCCTGTAAGTGAGTAAAAAAAAACCTGTTGGGCCGAATGGCCTATTTCCATACTGTAGAGATTCGGTGATTCTGTCTTATCACCGTATACTGTGCCTATCGCCATATGTCTGCTTAGTCACATGCATGTGGCATTGGCCATGATGCAGCCACCTTGCATGGGTCAACAGTGTCAGGCCTGCCTCCCTTGATGGAGCTTGTTCCATTCCTTCCAAGGAAATGTAGCTATCTCCGCTCATTTCCACTGACATGGTAGCCTTTCTTATCCCACTACACTTGTGAATTGGCTGGTATCCTAGGGGACACGTGACACCCATCCTGCAGAGCGGCAGAGGTTGTTAACATTGTTGTGGTTCTCCAGTCAGGCTCGCTGGAAGCTGCTACAACTGCTGTGATCACAACCAGTTTTGCATGGCTAGCTGTGGATGTCTCTTCCCTTTCTCCACCACACCAGAGCAACATGCAGAGAACTGTCACTGAATTGTGCAGCCACCCAGGATGCTGCTTCTGCCATACCCACATCTGTATTTCTTCAGTGGAATTCCTCTGAGGATAGTGGAGGGGGTTTGCTAGAATCTTGCAGGTCTGAAATTGGAGGATGGGTGCCGGGATGATTGCTACAGCAAAGGACATTCTGGTGGCCTTCAAAGATGGTGTCAGCAGCTCCTTCCACATCGGGTGATGATGTAGACATTGCCTTGAAGCCAACTCTAGCCATTAATTGGTTGGCTGATGTGAGATCTTAATGGGAATCAGAGAGGGGAGACTTTCTCTCTCGTTTCTGGTTCCAACTTCACATTCCCACCAGGTCTCATAAAAGTCCAGCCAGAAGGTTGTAGAATAATACAACACTGGACGCAAACCTTTGGTCTGTCATGCCTGGGATAGCTCTATGAGAGTGCTATCCATTTAGTTTCACAATCCTGGTTCTTTCCAACGTTTTGCACTATTTCCTTTTCAAGCATTTATGCTCTTGATTCATTTTCCATCCTTTAGGCAATATTTTCTAAATCACAATAATCTTCCTTAATCCCCTCCCTACTTATTTTGCCAATTATCTTAAATCTGTTTCTGCTCATTACTGACCCTCCTTACAGTGGAAACAGTTTGTCCTTATTGACTCTATTAAAACTCCTCATCATTTTAAACATCTTCACTAAATCTTCCCTTAACCTTCTCTGCAAGTGCCTTATCCTGCAGGAGTAGCATCCCTAACTCTGAGGAAGGGTCACCGGACCGGAAACGTTAACTCTTTTCTCCTTCACAGATGCTGCCAGACCTGCTGAGCTTTTCCAACAACTTCTGTTTTTGTTCCTGATTTACAGCATCCACAGTTCTTTCTGTTTTTATCTAGACCATCAAGGTTTGGATTCAAGTTCTACTCTCCCTAGAATATAGGTCTGAACATGTTGATTTTTTGCTACCTTCTGTGCCAGCTTCTTTGGTGTCTCCACATAATTAGTACCATTGTAGTAAATAGATTAAGTCATTTAAGCATTTTGATGAAGTTTGATAATCAGGAGCCTGACCCTTGTTTGATTTAGGCCTTAGCAGAAACTTGTGGTAAGCTTGACGTTAACTGAAGCTACAAACAGAATCTAACAACCTCCTGCAGTGGACAGGGGAACAACAGATTTTCAGCACATTTCAGTCAAACCTCAGGTAACTCAGCACCACAACAAATACAGATGTGGAAAGCCCCTTTTACTTGCATAAAATGATAACAACCTCTGCACTCCAACTTAATTCCTTGGAAGTGGAATATTTTTGGAGGAAGCTGAGGCAATAATATAAAGATAAATGCAAGTTTCCTGTTACTCTGCGTCTTCTGATGAAGTCACCTGTTGCTCATCTTCCATCACAGTGAAATAACACATTTTCTCCAGACTGCCTTCATTTTTTTTTATATCCAAAGTGCTCTTATACATAACTGAACAGTTTTTGTTCACCCCTCCCCCTGCCAATCATCAAGTCACAACCGTATTTTTCCATCCAACCACCATCAATAAATCACCCATGTTTTCCAATTGATTTATGTACATGCAAAGCCCATTAAAGGCAAATGCAGGCCATCAAATGTGAGGAAGAGGCGGGGAGCAAGGGAGGGGCCTTAAACAAAATGAAATGAAAGGAGAGATAAAGCACTTCACCTGTGTGTCTACCTCTCTTTAAACTCATTGAGAGTTAGACTTCCTTCATTACTCCATTAATCACCTGTCCCTCAGGTAGAACCTGGTGACCCAGTGACCTGGTCCCTGGAGGTCCAGTCAAACCACGTCACTCTAGCTTTTCTACTCCAATTCCAAACTAGTTCTGTTTTTTTTTGTCTGTTGCTGTTCCAGAGATTGATGTGGCACATGCTGTGTGCCAAATCTGACATGTAGATCCTGGCACACAGAGTACTGGCACTCTTTCATTCTAGCACACACTGTAGCAGTGGCTGTGGCCAATAGCACACACATTGCCTTTGTAAACTCCTGCTGATAGTGCAAAACATAGGCCAAACAGTCTTGGGAACTTACACTGTTCTAATCAATTCTTCCTTTGTCCCATAGGAGCTGTTATGAAGGAACCAGAGGACACTGAAGGTACGTTGTGTTTTATCACAGTGTGAAATAGCAACAGAGAAATATTGTAATAGGAACATAGGAACTGAAGTAGGCCATACAGGCCTGTTCCTTTCCTGCTAATCTAGCTTCAGCTAAATTTTTATTTATTACTTTACCGACTTCATTCACAGAAAGAGATACGCAGTTTGATGACTGTCAAAAATACCTTCAAAATGTATTGATGCATTCAATTCATGTGTTTTATCTTCATTTGTTGCATTCTCCTGTTTGTTATGGAATAGTCATCTGTCCTTAATGATTTCTGACTTCAGCTTTTCAACTTCATTCATTGAGGTTCATATTCCTGGCTGTTCAGTTCTAATTTGTAGCTGTAAAATCGCTACAAAATTTGAACCAATCAACCATAAAGAATGTATGTGTCTACAGTGTGTCACACTAAATTGGGACTTGCGTCCTGGCTGAGGTATGGATGTAGGCGGGAGGAGGCTAAACTTGGTGGAGTGCAGCGTTCTCGGACAATTATAGTCTTTGGGTGGATTAGGTTAAGTGAAGGCATTGAGGGATTTGAGAAAAAAGATGAGTATTTTAAAATGCCTCCAGTGTCACAGCAGGAATCAATTTAGATCAGGGAGCACAGGAGGATGGGCAGATTAGTCTTAGGATACATATTTGGATGAGCTCAAATTTAAAGATAGGGGAAGCTGGGAAACCAGCTAGCCATGGAGAACACTGCAATTGTCAAGTGTCGAGGCACTGTAATAAAGACCTAAAGAGAATTTTAGCAACAAATCCATGAGTTGGGGCAGAGACCTGGCTGCTTTGTGGAGGCGGAAGTAGGTAGTTTGGTGATGGAAAGCATATGTGATTATAAGTTTAGCTCAGAGCCAAATTGTCTGTCAAGGTTGCAAATGATGTGGTTCCATCTCAGACACTGACTGGGCTGGAGTGGGGAGACGGAGTATGGATGGGGGAAGAGAGGGGAGTTGATGGTTCTGGAATGAAATAGACAGGACTGAAAGACATGGCCAGATTTTCAGAGATGAGCTGATTCCAGAGGCCATTAAAAATGATAGTTAGAATTCCACCTCTAGTGCAGGAAAAGGATGCAGCTAACAAGCTCACATCTTGCATTCCTCGCCTGGAGAGTTAGGCACCTTGTACCATGGAAACTCGCTTGCTTCTTGAGGATGTTGGGTTCATGGCCCCTCGGAGGAGCCATGAACCATAGTTGTGCTTTGGGAACATTTTGAAAGGTATATTTGAAAGGTCTTATCCATGTTCCCTACATTTACCCAGTTTATACGGTGTACTGAATCAAAGAACCATATAGTGACAGTTACAAGTCTTGAGATGCTCCTAGAAAAAAAACACGCATTCAGAAATCTGCTTTCAAAAATCTACCATTAATGCCAACCTTATAGAGTACCAGTCAGACACTGCCTTTTATAGTCTCAATAAAGTAATCTTTATCCCTCTTTACATTTCTTAATCTTGTCCAAGTAAACATATAGATATGGGGAAAAATGGATCACAGAAAGGATAACCTATTATAACCTCAGAAATTAATCGAAGCTTTTTGAACCAGCAACGTGAAGGAATGGGGATAAAGTTCCAAGTTGGGATGGTATATGATGTGGAGGGGAATTTGCAGCTAGTGATATTTCCATGCCCCTACTGAACTTCTCTGATGACCTGAGATGTTAACTCTCCTTTACTTTTCTCGCATGTTGCCTAATTCATTGAGTATTTCCAGCATTTTCTGTTTTCAGTTTCGTCTTGGTGATCTTCAGAGTACATTTTGTTTTGGATTACATGGCTGATGCAAACTGAATCAATGCCGTCTCTTCCCAGACGCTGCAAGCAACCAGTGGTTCCAGTTCCAGGATGCTGAATACAAGTTCTTTGAGCATCTCTCCACCTGGCCCCAAGCCCAGAGAATCTGTACCTGGTTCAAAGCGGAACTGGCCTCCATTCACAGTCAGGAGGAGCTGACCTTCCTGGGACAAACTCTACAGAAGGTAGGACTGATCTAATGTATCCCAGAACATTGTGGGACGTAAGGGAGGAAATTGCGAGACCCTTTGCGGAAATATTTGCATCATCTATAACTACTGGTGAGGTGCCTGTTGACTAGAGGGTGGCTAATGTTGTACCTTTGTTTTAGAAAGGTTGTAAGGAGAAACCGGGGAACTATAGACCTGTGGGTCTGACTTTGGTCAAGGGTAAATTATTGGAGATGATTTTAAAAGATAGGATTTATGGACATTTAGAAAGGCAAAAATTGATTAGGGATAGTCAACATGGTTTTGAGTGAGGAAAATTGTGTCTCACAAACTTGATTGACTTTTTTGAGAAAGTTACCAAAAAGATTGATGAGAGCCTTTGACAAGGTTCCACATGGTAGACTAATTAGTAAAGTTAGGTCACATGGGATTCAGGGTGAGCTTTCCAATTGGATACATAATTGGCTTAATGGCAGGAGACAGAGAGTGGTGGTGGAGGGTTGCTTTCCAGATTGGAGGCCAGTGGTGTTCTATAGGGATTGGTTCTGTGCCGTCTTTTGTAATTCATATAAATTATTTGGATGATAATATAGAAGGTATGATTAGTAAGTTTGCGGACAGCACCAAAATTTGTGGCATAGTAGACAGTGAAGAAGGTTTTCTAAGATTACAAAGAGATCTTAATCAATTGGGTCAATGGACTGAGAAGTGGCAGATGGAACTTAATTTGCATAAATGCAAGGTATTGCATTTTGGTACAACAAACAAGGGTAGGGCTAATACAATTAATAGTAGGACCTTGGGTAGTGTTGTAGAACAGAAGAATCTAAGGGTTCAGTTACATAATTCTTTGAAGTTTTCTTCACACATAGACAGGGTGGTTAGAAGCGCGTTTAGCCACCTTGTCTCCGTTGCTTAGTCCTTTGAGCATAGGAGTTGAGAATGTCATGCTGAAGTTGTACAGGACATTGGTGAGGACTCTTCTGGAATGCTGTGTCCAGTTCTGGTCGCCCTGTTATAGGAAAGATATTAATAAAGTGGAGAGGTTTCAGAAGAGATTTACCAGGATGTTGCCAGGTGTGGAAAGTTTGAGTTATAAAGAAAGGCTGAATATGCTGCAAATTTTTTCACTGGAGCATAGGAGGTTATAGAAGTTTATATTTAAAAAAATGAGGGGTTTGGATAGGGTTAATAGTAGTTGTCTTTTCCTTAGGCTGGGAGATTTCAAGACGAGGGGGCACGTTTTTAAGGTGAGAGGAGAGAGATTTAGAAAAGATTTGAGAGGCAAATTGTTTACACGGAGGATGGTTCATGTGTGGAATGAACGTCCTGAGAAAGTGGTGAGTGTAGGTATAGTTACAACGTTTAAAATACATTTGGATAAGTACGTGAATAGGAAATGTTTGGTGGGATATGGGCCAGGAGCAGGCAGGGTGAGACTAGTTTAGTTTAGGATTATGTTCAACTTGGACTGAAGGCTCTGTCTCCATGGTGTATGACTTGATGACTCTGACTGCAGACACCCTGCACTAAGAAATGATACTGCACTCCTCCACTTCTTAGACTGAGCTCCAGTGGTTTTGCACAGATGTTGTCCAAAAACATTCTCCCTGTAGACTGCAGCAGATCAAGGAGGTGGCTCACTACCATCTCCTGAAGGTCACCTAGGAACAATACACACCTCTCAAGACTGAATTAAAATAGTGATACCTACAGCAAAATGAATGACTAACTTGGTCACTTCTTTTTTAGCTTTCCCGGTTTCAAGACCAGTTTTGGTGGATTGGCCTTCACACCAATGAGAATGACGGACGATTCAGGTTTGTGGTATTTATCCTTGTACAGTGTGGAATCCTGTCACAACATGGAGTGCAAGTTCATAGTTCCTTTGAAAGCATGTACACAGGAAGGTGAAGGTGGCATTTGATGTGCTTGCTTTATTGGTCAGCGCATTGAGTATAGGAGTTGGGAGGTCATGTGGCGGCAGTACAGGACACTTTTGGAATACTGTGTGCAATCCTGGTCCCCCTGCTATAGGAAGGATGTTGTGAAAGTTGAAAGGGTTCGGAAAAGATTTACAAGGACATTGCTAGGGTTGGAGGATTTGAGCTGTAGGGAGAGGCCATTTTCCCTGGAATGTCGGAGGCTGAGGGGTGACCTTTATAGATGTTTATAAAATCATGAGGGGCATAGCTAGGGTGAATAGCTAAGGTCTTTTCCCTGGGATGGGGAAGTCCGAAACTAGAGGGCATAGGGTTAAGGTGAGATGGGAAAAGATTCAAAAGGGACCTAAGGGGCAAGTTTTTCACGCAGAGGATGGTGCGTGTATGAAATGAGCTGCCAGAGGAAGTGGTGGAGGCTGGTACAATTACAACATGTAAAAGACATCTGGATGGGTATATGAATAGGAATGGTTTAGATGGATATGGACCAAATGCTCCAAATGGGACTAGATTAATTTAGGATATCTGGCCAGCACAGATGAGTTGGACCAAAGAGAATGTTCCTGTGCATACTATTCTATGCCTCTACGTGCATTCTGCATCTTGAATTTCTTGACTTATTCTGTTATATTTCATTATTGATTTTGTAATAGCAAACCTCCATTTTGTTCATTAATCTCTCTTCTCTTCGTCATTTTACTCGGTTGTTTAGTCTTATTTTCCCATTTCTGACTTTTCCCACACTGCTCACTTGTTTACCACATGGAATGTATAGAACAGAAACAGGTCATTTTACCCAACTAATCCATGCCATTGTTAATTCTCCACACAACCCTCCTCCCATCTTTATTCATCTCATCCTATCAACATATTCTACAATTCCTTTCTTCCTCAAGTAGACATCTAGTTCCCTCTTAAATGTATCTATGCTATTCACCTCAACTATTTCATGAGGTAGTAAGTCACACTCTTGCTGCCTTTACTTTAAATTCCTCTTTGCCATCCTTTTCCCCAATACTCTTGAATATACAGATTGAGGAAATATCGACATAATGTCATTTGGCTAGCAATGTACAGGCCCAGGTTAATGGTTCTAGAGACACAGGTTCAAATCCCACGATGGTGCCTGGTGGAATTTAAGTTGAATTACTGAATGTGGAATTACTATGAAATCTTTATTGATCATCATAAAAACATATCACATTAACTGAAGAAGGGTCACTAGACTTGAAAATATTAATTCTGCTTTCTCTCCACAGATCCTGCCAGACATGCTGAGTTTATACATTAGTTTTTTTTGAGTTTCATATTTCCAGCATCCACAGTTCATTGTTTTGTTATCATGTTCCCTAAAGTCATTTAGAGAAAGAAATCTGCATTCCTTATCTGTTCTGGTCTACATGTGACCTTAGACCTACAGTAATGTAGCTGTCTCTTTAGTGGCATAGCAAGCTGCTCTCTTGTATCAAACCAGTACAGAAAGGTGCAAATGAAATGAATTTGGGTTGAACTGACTTTGACTTAGGCCTTCACTGTCATTAGCTCAAAATCCTGGAACTCCTTCCCTAATTGTATTGTGGGTGTAGGTGTGCCAAATGGACTGCAGCAATTGAAGAAGGCAACTCAACACCACCTTCTTCAAGGACAACTAGGGATGGGCAGTAATTGCACCAATAACAAAAAAGAACAAAATTTTTGCTGGTTTGCAATTCTACAAGTGATTGACAGAAACGACCAACATCCATAAACCTGGGTGGCAAGGGGGAACAGGCTTTTTGACGTTGAGGAATTATATCCCCAATCAAAATCTCGTCTTTGTGATACATCCACATAGTTGTCAATTGTCACTTACTGAGGCTGAAAAGGATTTTAGTTAACATCATGATTCTGTGCAGTGGTGATGTCCCTGATCATGTTGTGTGTTCCAGGTGGTCTGATGGTTCGATTCTGAATTTTGTCTCCTGGGCCTCAGGGAAGCCGCGACCAATTTCTAGAGACAGAAAATGTGTCTACCTGTCGCCCAGTAAAGGTAAGAGCTACAAGGAAATTATCCTTATGGGCTAGATATATCCCAATACGTTCCAGCTTCTCAAGCACGATACTTTGGAGGCTTAAACCTGTCCTGGCATTAAAAAAATAACAATAATGAATGTGTCAGGGGACAGGTGTTCTCTTTTTAATACAGCATGTTATGATGATTTGGTAAGCAAGGTCTGAAAGAGTGCTGGACCAGATTCAATAATAACGTTCAAATGGGAACTCCAAAAATACTTAGAAAGGGGAAATCTTTGCAGCTCAATGGGGAATTAACAGAGAATGCGAATTACTGGACAACTCTGTCAAAGAGCAGCACAGGCATGATGGGCCAAATGGCCCCCTGTGCTGTATAATTAGAACACCAATGAAGGCAGTGAATTCCAGACATCCATCGCCCTCTGTGTAAAAGGTTTTTTCCTCACGTCCCCGCTAATCCTTCCACCACTTAGCTTGAATCTACGACCCCTGGTTTTTGAACTGTCCGCTAAGAGAAACAAGTTCTTCTTGTCTACTCAGTCTCTATGCCTCACAATTTTGTATACCTTAATCATGTCAGCCTTCAGCCTTCTCTGTTCCAAGGAAAGCAACCCCAATCACTCTAGTCTCTCCTCATAGCTACGGTTCTCCAGCCCTGGCTACATTCTGGTAAATCTTCTCTGCACTCTTGCCAGATCAGTTACATCCTTCCTGTAATGTGGTGACCAGAACTGCACACAATACTCCAGTTGTGGCATCACCAGTGTCTTATATTCTTTGGGTTTAGAGAGAGGATGACCTCTTACAACATCTTTATCAAAGCCTTATCATAACTTTTCACTGGGGTTCTTCACCAAACTGAGCTACACCAGTGGCTAGTTTGTAAATCCATTGCCTGGCGTGGGGCTGAGTTTTATACGTAGAACATAGAACATAGAACATTACAGCGCAGTACAGGCCCTTTGGCCCTCGATGTTGCGCCGACCTGTGAAACCAATCTGAAGCCCATCTAACCTAAACTATTCCATTATCATCCATATGTTTATGTGTCTGGTTTGATCCCTCAGCCTGGACTGGGTTTGCTGATCTCAGCGGTTAAGTTGCTATAATTAGCATTGGAGACTGTGAGTTAAAGACAGAGAGAATTCAGCCAAAGTTCTTGCTCTTGAAGATTATCTGTGGGCCTGAGTAACATTTGCCCATCATGTCAGCCTGAAGAAAAATATTGTCCAAAGTCATACAAGAGCAAAGCAACAGCTTGAGCTGTATATTTTTGGTTTGATTCCAAAGATTTCACCTTTATGGTATATAATCTGGAGCTGGTAATTGTGAAACCACTATCGATTGGGCAATGAGAAACCTTTTGGTTAGTGGATGCTGTAGTAGAAGGTGTCAATGATTTGATTTACTAATTCCTGAAAACCTGCAGCTGATCAGAAGCTGCTGATTGCTGCCAGTGCTAAGATCTTGATCAGACACCATGACCTGTCGTGGTTCACTACTGTTTTAGCACAGAGTGTGCCAATTACCATGTGTAAAGTAATTGAGGACAGAGACATATCACACCTACTCCCAGAGCTAGCCTCCGCTTAGGATCACATTGCTATCCCTTATCAAGGTGAGCTTGACCCAGAATGATGGTCAAATCCCAGAAGATGATTTGATTCAGTAATGGTAAACATATTTATGGAAAACTCACTCACACCCAGCTGTCTATCTCTTGTGCCGCACAGGAAGCCATCATTTGAAATGAAGAACTTGTAGAACATCTCAAAGCACTTGCCCAGTAAATGAACACTTTAAAAGTGCAGTCACTCATTCAATGTAGGAAATTCTAAACTTGATTTGTGCAGGGCAGGGTCCCACAGGCAAGATTGTGAAAATAATCAAATAATCAGTTTAGCTGGAGTAACAATTTCACCATCATAGAACGATTCAAATGGAGGCCAATCAGCCCACACTACCCATGTCAACTCTTTGGTAGTTGGCTGATCTAATTACTCCTGTGCATCTGCACTTTCTTCCCAAACACCTGCATTTTTTCCTCTTAAGCATTTAATGTTACTTTGAATCCAGTTCCCTTCTACCCTATCAGGCAGCTCGTTACAGATCACAGCAACTCATTCCACAAAAGAAATATTCTCTGAACTCCCCTCTGATTTGTTTGACAAACACCTTAATTCTGTCCCTTCTGATTACTGACCCTTTCGCCAGTGCAGTTTCTACTTACTTGGCCTGTCAAAACCACATGGTTTGGGCCACGTCTGTTAAGTCTCTTTCCTAATCTTCCCTGCTCTAACGAGAACAACACCAGCCTTCACAGTCTCTCCACGTTCACTGAAACCCCTCCATCCCTCAAGAAAGGAAAAAACTCTCGATTCAACTGGATTGTAGTTTTTTTTAATTAACCTATTTTTCCTAATCAACCCATTCAGATGTTATTACACACCTCTGGAACAAGTGGTACTTGAACCCAGGTCCCCTGGTCCAGGGATAGGGATGTTACTATTGCACCACAAGAGGGCCCTACCTATGGTACCTGGTATTCCTAGGCAGTCTCCCACCAAGTTCTAAACAGTCCTGAGTCCACATAGCTTCCAAGATCAGATGAGATCAGGCAGTTTCAGACTAGTATGGCTATAGGCACTTGACTGCAATGAACACCATGACATATTCATTACACCTGGGGGGGAAGTAGACCGAATATAAAGGTTAATGAGGAGTCAGTGCTTTTTCACAAAGTGGAAAACTGGAAGTGACAGTGAAATTACTATCAAAGGTTTCATAATTTTTTCACCCTCTTCATAAAAGGCTTTTTCTGTAAGGATTAGACGTCATTTTCATCACAGGCGCACATGATATCTGAAATTGCCAAATGATTTTCATTAGCTCTTTAAACTCATTACAAATGTGACTTCCAAATAATAGAATCAGAATTAGGTTTTATTATCACGTATACTCATGTACAGGGATACAGGTGTACAATGAAAAGTATATAACGTCATCATTCCCAGTGCCATCTTGGACACAAAAATACCTAGGTACAAAATCTTCGGTACATAATAATCTTCTAAAACTTTTATGCTTCAAATTTCATGTTTTTGTTTAATTCATTCGTGGGATGTGACCATCACTGGTTAGGAAAGAATTTATTAACATTTATTACCTATCCCTAATTGCCCATGAGAAGGTCACAGTCTGCTGCATTCTTGAACTGCTGTTGTATTTCGATATGATTCATGATTTTAAACGGAGTCACAGAGATTCTGTCTCTCAGTTTCTCATGTTTTCTCATTCACTTTCTCATTCTCTTATTCTCTCACTTATTCTTTAACTTCAATTTCTTATAAGTTTTCATTCTCTCTTCCTTTTGTTTTCTGTAGTAGATTATTTGGACAACTATTTCAAAGAGCTGGTATTGGCAGGATGAGCTGAATAGCCAACTTCTGTGCTATAAGATTCTGTGATTCTATTTTCTCTTTCTCACTCACTCTGTCCTTTGCTTTCCTCTTGCGCTGATTCTGTCTTGTTCCTTGCATTGTTTTTTCTCACCTCCATCCCTCCTCTCTCACATACATGTTTCAATTTTCATTTCAGAAGTGTGGGGTGACCAGAGATGCCTGAATGACCTGCAGTACATTTGTAAACGGACAAACAGCTCCATGGTGAAGCCTCCTTTACCATCTCCACCGTCTGCACACTCCGGGGGTTGTCCAAGGGGGTGGACCCCATTTGCAAGCAAGGTATTATCATTCATACACATAGCCAGTTCTGTTTTTTAGTGATGCATTGAAAGTACTGACCCAAAGAGAGGTGTAACTCTGTAATAAGTGCTCACTTGCAATCAGCGCCTGACCCAATCCTGTGATGCTTTATATCATTCTGTGTTGGGATCCTAGCTGCAACCAGCTAAGTCAATGATGATCGAGGCTTTTTGTTTAGGTGGAGTGAAATTGTTCTTCTGTATTAGTATTGAGTGTAAGATGCAACTCTGTAGCCACAGACAAAAGTTTGTCTGCTTTTTCAAATAAAGCTTGGATAAACTAATATTCAAATAATCGTTTGGTAGTACATCAGTTGCATTTTGCTGAAAAAGTACACAATTTGTCAAAGATTTTTGTCGGCACTCATCAGGACATTTGCAAGAATACCACTTCAGGGATAAACCGACGTTTATACTGCATGAGAGGAGAGTGCTGATTGGTGAGAAAGTGTACTGTGATTGGTAGAGGCCAGAGTCTACTTGCCAACCAAACAGTACTCTCATGCAGTAAAAATATTGGTTTTTCCCCTGAATTGGTATTCTTGCGAATTGATCTGAATTAATGAGAACAAGAAAATTTGTTTCAATAGATGTGCCTTCTTCCAGAAATACTAAAATAAAATTCTGTGAATGCTAGAAATCTGTAACCATCTTGATGATTCCATGTTAAATGAATAGCTGTGTATTTCCAGCGTTTTCTGATTTATTACTGGTGTAAACATGTCACTTAATGAGGTAACACGTTCTCCCACTGCTGGCTTGCAAGATCTTTAGCAATGTTCATTTCAGATCTAACAGCTCATGATTTCCCACAGTCATGTTTATATTTACCACACTGTAAATGATTTGTGTTGAAAGTGTGTCTGCAACAAAAGGCTTTTTTGCATATTTAGCTGCCATTTTGATTTAACTGTCAATCACTTTCTCAGAGGATGGGCTTTTGCCAACATTCCCTGTAATTTTTTTTTCTGCTGCTGCCTGGACTTTGAGGTCTGAGCGTGGCAGTGGCTTCTAGAAGTGGAAGCCCTTCATCAGCTGCATGGCTGTGCTGCCTAGAGGGAACACTGGGTGTTGCCTTCAGATTTGCCCCTACCTCAGGTTGCCAACTCTGTTTGGACAGCTTCCTGGAGCGTTCATCACGTGATCTCCCATTTCCCAAGGCACTACTCCTGTAGTCCCCCTATTGGTCACCTTGGAAGCCCATCATCCTGGTGTCCTGGCGTCCGATTGGAAGGCGTATAGACTCTCCAGTATCTGGGTGAATCATGAATGTGTCTCCAGGTGAACCACAACCATACAGCAGTTGCAGCACAACAACTCAATAGTCTCCCCACGTTAAATGCCCCAGTGATTTCCCCTAGTTTCCCAAACATTAAGTTTTTAAATGTGTAAGTCTCTAACACGATCTCAAAGGATGAGCCATCTCACTCACTTGCTGAGCTGCCTGGACACTGCAACTCTAGTAATGACAGTGTCCCAGTAAGTGGTCAAGTTATCCTCTCAGATCCTGGAGCAGTCCCAAGGAGGGAGTTCGAACTGGGGGTGGGATTTGGAAATGGCAACGTTGAAGGGTGCTGACTGACCTGCTGAGCTAATCATTTCTCTTGTATGAAGTTCAGTGTACGTTTTGATCTTAAGCAAGTATGTAGATTTGGGCAGGTCAGTGTGTGATAGTACTTTCCAGTAGTGTGCCTGTTATAGGACACCTTTCATCACCAAGCCCTGCACCATACGGTATTCTGGATTGGCTTGGCAGAACCAGGTTTGATCCTTCATTTTTGCTGAATGAGTTGGTTTTAATCTGAATGCTGATGAGGAGAAGCCTGAGCTCAGTGCCCTGGGTTAGAGATGGGCTGACCTCTGTTGACTGTTGAGAGTTGACTGTTCTTGGAGGAGGATGGAGCTGATGGTATTAATGACCCACCCTCTAATGGAAGAACTTCCTGAGGTTATTCAAGGGGCTGACACGTCAACAATGTTCAATTGACAGTCATCAAGTGACTATGTACCTAAGCCCTAATAACAAGTAATGCCTTTACAGCAGGTGAGAAAGTGATAAAATAAGATGCAAAACATGTTCACCAACCACTTCTCACTCCCTTCCCTCTTGCTTTTGCTATACTTTCCCCTTCTGCTCTAATATTGGTCTCTGTGCTACTCCCCTTTTACTTTCTTCAGTTCTCAATTCTTATTTTCTAGCTCCCTTCTTTTCCTCCCTTATTTTCTGCATCTTCTGTCGTTCTCTCTAACCTGTCTCTAAAGTCCCTCGGTGATATTGGACTAACCAATCTCTCAACTTGTGTAATTAAGGACTGTGACAGGTGAATCCCTCCACTGCTTCACTCTGGTCTCCAAGGGAAGCATACAAAAGTTTGAGACAGCACAAATCCTTCATTCTTCTACCTCTCCCTTATTCTCTGCAGCCTCTTCCTTCATTCTCCACTAACTCCTATCTTCCTCCTCGCTGCAGTGTTTCAAGATATATGGATACTCTAAAGTGGATCGTGTTAACTGGATTGAAGGGAAGGCAGCTTGTGAGAGAGCAGGAGGGCTGCTAGCAACAATCTCCAATCACTATGAGCAAGGTATTGATTGTTGACAGTTTGTGTGCGTTCAACAGCAAGACTCCATTTCATTACCTGCCGTTTGTCTTTAGTTTAATTTTGAGCACTTAGATGGGGATACACAGTTTAACTGTATCTAATTTTGGTCTCTGTTGTGTCCCAACATTGTATTCTGCCACTGAGATAGGTCAGTAAGAAGTTCCTGCAGTAGAGGCTACACTTGGAGTGGGGGGAGGAATGTACACAATCAAATATGCTCACAAAGGTGTACAGACCTGGACAGGACCATGTAAACATGCACACGTAGGCACAAACCAGCATGTACACTTGTGTGTAAATATAAACACATGAACATGGACACAAATGTGCAAACATGCACAAGAGAACACCATCATGAACATATACATGAACACATGCATGAACACACACAAGCTTGCCCATGCTAACATACAAAGACTATGTAAGTACATGAGCAAGCACACGGGATGTGCACATGAATACACAAATACGCGCACTGTCATACAGATACAAGAACATACATACTTGTATCTGAGTTTAATTGTTTTGTTTTAGTTGGAAGAGTAAAACTGAGAATTGCATTCTATTTAGTAATTCAAAGATTTGCCATACCCACGAATGCTATGTCAAAACCCCAAAAGCCTGCTTTGAAGATGTGCAGACTGTAAGTGGGTGCTGTACAGTTTACACCAATGTGTGATTACAGCTGACTGGAGAGTGCTTGAATCTGTTCAGACTTCCCTGTCAGTGAATCACCCATTTGGAACAGGGAGCGAGATAGAGAGAGAGATGGAATCTCTCTGCATGTCATGCAGAATAACTAACAGGTTCAGTATGGAGCATCTGCCCAGGGGATACCACTGTCTCTATGATCAAGGGAAGCAGTGTAGTGAGAAGACCAGGGTCACAGAATTGTTATGGTACAGAATAAGGCCATTAGGCCCATTCTCTTTGCACTGGCTGCACAAATGAACATAAGCATTAAATTCAGAGATAGTAGGAACTGCCGATGCTGGAGAATCTGAGATAACAAGGTGTAAGAAGGGTCTCGATCCGAAACATCAGCTTTCCTGCTCCTCTGATGCTGCTTGGCCTGCTGTGTTCATCCAGCTTACACCTTGTTATCTAGCATTAAATTCAGTCAGCCAAGGTAATCTCGAAGATTATTTCATCAACCTATATTAACTGTAAAACTGCTTTCTCAACATCCGCTTTTCAAGCTACTTAACTGATTAGGGGTAATTTTGACTTCAATTGAAATAAAATTTGGGAGAGTTGATAATTGGGTTCCTGATTTATGGTATCCATTACACACGTTCACCCAAAATCAAAACTACCCCCATTCCATTTGTAATCTTGAATATTAAGATCCTTTGCCATGTCCACCTCTGAGATTGAGTGCTTTCTGTGTCCCTTCATCATCCATCTGGTCTATCTGTGTTTTTCGTATCAGCTTTTATAACAACCATTCTTCCAAACATCACCTTTGACCTCTGGATCGGTCTGCATGACACAAACAAGGACTTCCAGTGGCTACAAAAGGAACCACTGAAATACGTCAACTGGGCTCCGGGAGAGCCTTCAGGCCAGCACACGTCCTCTGCAACCAATGAACTGGTAAGTTGCTGCTCAGATGATGTCTGAGTGATGTTATCAGGTGACTACTTAATGTTCCTCCTCCTTGCTCAGACTCCCCAGCAGCATTATGGCTGTATCTCCACCATATGGACTGCAACAGTTGAGCTAGGCAGCTCACCACCACCTCATCAATGGCAATTCAGCATGGGCAGTCAATACTAGCCTGGCCTGCAACGCTCACATCCTGTGGAGAATTTTTAAAAAAACTTTCCTTCCCTGAACTATTCATGCAAACGCCATTTCTAATTCGCGTGTTCCTTTTTCAGTTACATGGAAGAACTTCTATCCTGATCATCTCACATGGAGCCCCTCACTGGCTCCCTTCCCACTTTGGAAACACTGTGGTGCAGTATCCGAGCAAGAAGACAGAACAGCAATGTGATGGTTGAAGACATTGAGAATATGAAAGCAAATTTAGATAAACATAGGAGAATAATCAGGACACGGGGAAACACCTACTCAGTTTACAGGATACAAACCTGAAATAAAATGTACAAGTTACTAATAAGGAATGGAAGATCGTTTTGTTAAAGATGAGGCCATGCATTCACATGGCATCTTTTACAGCTCCAAAACATCCCAAAGTACTTCATAAGCCAATGAAGCATTTTTTTAAAATGTCAGTCCCTGTTGCAGTGTAGTTAATAGAGCAGACGGTTTGCACACTGTCACGTTCTACAAACAGATTATTTGGCTGAAGGATCAATATTGTCTGGAGCAACTCTGCTCTTTCTCTCAAAATATTATCAGATCTTTCACATCCACCTGAGAGAGTAAACGAGACCTACGTTAAAGTCTAATCTGAAAGCTAGCAAATTCAAGAGTTACTTCCTTCTGGATTATGTGAAGAAGTCTTTTGAATGAGATTTGAAACCCCACAGTCTTTGACTCAGAGGCGAGAGCACTATCATCTGAGGCATGGTTGACACAGATAAATTTACTTCAATTTTCAACATGACCTATTCCGCACTGTGGGCGGTGCAGTGGCACAGTGATTAGCACTGCTGCCTCACAGCGTCAGGGATCTGGGTTCGATTCCAACCTTGGGTGACTGTCTATATGCATGTTCTCCCCGTGCCTGTGTGGGTTTCCTCCGGGTGCACTGGTTCCTCCCACAGTCCAATTCAATGATTGTGCTCCTTCATTCCTGACAGTCATAGAGTCCTACAACACAGAAGCAGATGCTTCAGTCCAACCAGTCCATGCTGCCCATAATCCCATAGCAGGGGAGAAAAATTACACGTAAAATCCACTTTCAATATTGGCAGTTGGTCATTAGTCAGCCCAGCTGGTCAGTCTGTGGTCTGTGATAGGGAAAAGCATGCTTTCTTGAGCTTTCATCTTTCTTTTGCACCTTTGACTTTCATCATCTGTCCTATTTCAAAACCTCGGTGAAGCAGGGCTCACCTTCATGGGCGGGCCACCACACATACTTCCCAATTGATGATGCCAAAGCCAATCTTCAAGTTGTCTTTCAGGAGGTGTGTTATTGATCCACTATTGACTTCTCAGTGCCCTGCCACCTGGCTGATGCAGGTCATGCCAGTATAGCCAGTAACTGGTCAGTCACTGCAGACTACACTGCTGGTTGGTGACCCAGCCTCTTACCTAGAGAGATAATGTTCTGTTCTAAAGTTGTATCTGATTGAATTTAACGTGAGCACTAAGCTGCTTTATTTTTTCCTAGGTAAACTGTGCTGTCATCTGGCATGCGTTGCATCCACAGTTCACTGGGCGCTGGGATGATCGGAGCTGCACGGGAGATAAGAATGGCTACATCTGTCAGCGAAACAAAGGTATGGTCCAGTCAAACTCCAGCAGAGAAACACAGGAATAGGAAGTCCATCAGACCTCATGCACCATTTTGCTTTTTCAGTTCTTTGTTGTTCATCCCAATTCCTGGCTTCCCTCCATTCCCTTTGACACGTTACTTATCAAGCAACTCAATTGATTTTATACCTAGAGCCTGGGATACTATACCAGGAGTTTGACAGAGAAAATGCAACAAGAAAATGGGCTATTTAACCCCACTGATATTGGCATGTAAACTCTGTTCAAATATTCAAACTGCTCTGGTCCAGTAACTCTTCAATCACCTTCTCCTCTTCCACCATTGAATCTTGAATGTTAGAACAGCCCTCCTGTCAATCACTAACCCTGAAAGGAACTCAACAGCCCTGTACGTCTGTATGACGACGTTCAGTTTTAATAAAACATAATGCTTTATTGACATTTATAAAAATTAATTGTTTAACAATTCAAAATTGTCATCACATTAAGTTCAATACAATTCAATTTCTTGCAGTACAGTCAGAGGTACCTCACTGCGATTCTTTCTTAGACAGTCCAGTCCTGAAGCAGCTTGACCCAGTATTGGATCTCCATTTCAGTGGGGATTTTCTGAAAGAACTGGGGTGGCTGGAAGTGCTCAGCTTTTCCGGATTCTCTCCTTCAGATTGTATGGCAGGTAGAGTATGTGAATGTGGTCACTATCACTACATCCCTGGAATCATCCAACACGCATTCTTCTTCCCACTTGTGGGAGGTGAAATTGTGCAGCTATACCAGTAGTGTATCTGTACTGTGTTTCAGAACCGTACCAGTTTCTTTCTGCTCCAGAGACATTGTCGTTTTCAACAGTTAAATGGCTTTTCCAACCTCGCATGCTATTCCTAATTATGGTGAGATGGCCAGTCACTTGTCCACGGGGGACTGGCTGAGGCAGCAAACAAGCTCACTGGTGAGGCATCATGAAGCCCATCCAGAAGAAAGCATACCCACTTATTCCTTTAGTTGGTCTCACTTAGAGTGCTAATGTTGAGGTCGAGGTGCCCAAGTTCCCAAGCTGTGATTGTGGTTCGGCCTTTGGTTCAGTTGCTGATGGTGTTGGGGTTGTCCATGACATCTTGACATTTCAGGTTTCCATTTGGGCCAGTGGATGATGCCCATAGGTGAGATTTCCTAACTGGATCTGGTCATTGCACAGTGACAAGAACATGTTCCTGTAAGAGTCATTCTTGGCCCAATGGCAAGGAGATTTCAGATGATTAGAGACTAGGTTCTGCTGTGAGATATTAGCCAATAGCAAGACATGAGGCTCAGTTGGAACCTGATGCCTATCAATCACTAAGAGTTCACTGCACAAGCAATTATGTGTCATAATTACAGGGTTCCTGACTTACAAACATTCGTACATATGAATGCATTCCCACACAGAAATGTAATTTTAAATATCCAACAATTGAATATTTCCCATACTATTGTATACTTTTTGTTCTTTTATTTTGTCCTGCATTGTCAATGTTGCAACTTGCGAATGGACTCTGGAACAGAATCCATTTGTAATCCAGGGACTGCTTATACAGCATACATTTCCAATTTAAATTGAATATTCTCTGGTGCAAACAGCCCGAGGGGCTTTCCATGGTTTGTAGCCCCTCAGAGTACTCTGGTGGGAGGGTCTCAGACAGTGGCTCTTCCCACACTACTGTGACCACTGCTCCAAGCATTAGTGCATCACTGAACACGTAGTCCTCGCGCTTAGAATGTTCCAGCTTGTAACACTGAGCTATTGACTGTTCTTTGCATTAGAAGACCAACACGTTTGAAACAGGTCAAAGAATGTCTTTGACCGTGTTGATGATCAATGGGCAGCAGTTTATTTTGTCTTGATGTTTATCCCTGGTAATAGCCCATTGAGCACCAAGTTCTGAAGTCTAGTTAGATGAGTGCTAACAAGGAGAAAATTGATCAGAGTTATGATCAGGGTCTATCCACAAGCATTGTGGAGCTCTCTTAGAGCAACCATTTAAATGCCAAAATCAGCTGGTTCATTCTGAAGCCTGTCAACATAGACCCTGCTGTTGGAAGCAGTCATTGTCATAAAGACCATTAAACCACTGTCAATTGTCACTAAAAACTCATTTGGTTCACTAATGTCCTATAGGGAAGGAAATGTGCCATCCTTCTCTGGTCTGGCCTACATGTGACTCCAGACCCGAAACAATTAACTGCCCTCTGGCCAATTGGGGATGGGTAATAACAGTAATGCCCATATCCAGTGAACAATTTTTTAAAATTTTGAGTTAGGTATTCAAATGATGTGTGTGTTTTTATACAATATTTTAGCATTATAGTGATGTTTCTTTCTCTTCTTTATTATACTGTCTGTGTCCATACACAGAAAGAATTATCCAGTTTATTTCCATGCCCTTAGTTTCTTCTCATTATCCAGCAAATTAATTATTTTCAAATGCTCATCCCAAAATTCCTTTGGAATCTGATTCCACCATTTCCTCAAGGTCATTTGTTCCAGATCTTAACCCTCCATGTGATATAGTTTATCTTCACTTCCCCTTCAGTTCTTTTATAATCAGAACCAGACTAGCCTTTGTTGTGAAATACGCTCGAATGTTAAAAGTTTATTATTTCACTCTTGCCACCATCTTAAGTACAGAGTACCTATGTACAGATACTTTAAGTGTTGTCACAGAGTTTAAAAAAAAGTTTAGCACGGGAACAGAGTTGAAAAAGTCCAGAATGATAATAGAAGTGGCCATAAGTACTTACGTTCGAGTCCCTCTCCAACATGAGTCTGTGCCTGCTGGCCTCAGAACATGAGGACACACTGCTTTCTCTGTTGCCACCACGGCACCCAGCCCGTGCTCACTCTGTCGCTGCTGCAGGACTCGGCCTGCGAATCAGCCTGCTCACTTCACTGCAGGACTTGGCCCACACGCTCAGCTCCTATTCGGGCTCCAGCCGTGATCCTTCTCCCTCAACTCCACTTTCCAGGTAGGGCAGGGCAGTCAAAAGTTGGAGGTTGGGGAGGGAAGATAAAAAAGCTACAAAGAGGAGTAAAGGAAGAGGAACCAACGAGCAGAGGAGCTGCAACTGGAGCATCCTTCTCTGCCACCAACTAATTTTAAATTGATATCTACTGTTACTGGCTAACTTGCTCATTACTCGCTGTATTCAAATTCTTCATCGTTTTAAATGTCTCTAATAGATTTCTTCTGTGCTGTAAGGAGAACAATCCCAACTTGTATAATCTCACCATGAAACTGCTGTCCCTCATCCCAGGAATCATTCTGTTAAATCTTATCAGCACAGCCTCAGTAATCCAGTTGAAGTATAAACAGTGATTTGTAAAGATTTATGATAACCTCCTTGTATTTGCATTCTGCTTCTCCATTCAGAAAGCCAAGAATCTGCTTTCAATGTTACTCGAAAGAAAACTGCCTTATAGAGGCACTTGCAGCATATGTGACATTTCAGGTTCAGGGGTCACAGGTCTACGGAAGACTGTTCATATAATTATTGTTTGAGAGCTTGGCCTCTAATTTGGAAGAATAATTATTTAATTCGAAATTACAAGAGAAGGCATGGTTCCTAGTTTCATTTTAGTTTTGTAATGTGAATGATAACCAGGGTGTCTGAATATTTGTTTTGCTTATATGTGAGGTTTTTAAACTCATAGATGAACATTTCAGTACACTACAGAGAAAAAGGTGGAAGGGAGAGGAAAAAAGAACTATTGCCTAGCAAAACCAGAATAATCCTCAGAGAGAAGAGGTCGCTAACAGCACATTAGCAATCCCCAAGCAGTCCGAGTTGCAAGGAAGACCCAGGTGTTGATGAAATGAGAAAGCTGCACAGCCTCTTTATTTGTATATTTTTGCCTATTTCTTTGAAACAATGAAGCAAACCACCCTAGTGATTGTGCAAAGTAGAAGTGAGACAAAGCTAGGCAATAACTCATCCTGTTAAATGTCTTCTAGTTAATGAATAAATGGCACTGGAAAGCATGGGGTCTGTAAAGTGCTTGCAGTATTCCATCTCACAAATATGTGTTGGTTGAGAAAAGAAATTGCATTTATGTAGTGCCTATTTCGACCTCAGACAATGAAGTACTGTACTTTTTCAAAGTGCAATTGCTATTATAGCCCATGAGAACTCAGCTTGTGCACAGCAAGGTTTCACAAGCAGAAATGACAACAAATTGATAACCTGTTTCAGCTATAAATATTGATCAGGCAATCAGGAAGTGTTTCTCGGTCCTCATCAATCAGTGCTGGATGATCTTTCACTGAGGTGACACACGGTTCTCACTTTAACCTAAATATTGGCACCTCAGCATTGTAGAGCTGCCACAGTTTTGCATGGAGAACTATCTGTCTTGATTTTCTGCTTCAGTCTCGAGAGGTGATAACCATCTAACTCAGGCAAGAGCACTGCCACCTGAACAAAGTTGACTCAATTCACATGAGAATCTGAGATA